TCAACACATTATCCGAGCTCATTGGGGTATATCTGTGATAAACGTCAACGTCAATTTTATATTTTCCCCTACATTACACACACACGCCATGAAAAACCGTTCAAAGCTGGGATAATACCCACCTCACGTTTCTGTTAATTGCAATACATTGGTGCAGGGGCAGTCGGGTAGCCTATTGGTTAAAGCGTTCGCTCGTCACGCCGAAGACCCGGGTTCAATTTCCGACATGGGTACAATGTGTGAAGCCCATTTCTGGTGTCCCCCGCCGTGATATTGCTGGAATATTGCTAAAAGCGGCGTAAAACCATACTGACTCACTCACTCACATTGGTGCAATAATGTATCTCCAGTTATTATGTATACGTATCATTTCCCATTTTGTATTTTGTGTGCTGGGGGCACGGGTGGCGTCTAAGGCGGCGCGATTCGCAGGGCAGAGTTGCGTCCCTTGGGCACGCCAGAAACCTATGATTGTGGGTTCGAATTCCGGTTCGCCCTGATTATGTTTCTAGGTTTTGACAGCACCATACCCATGCTCGTGGGTTTCACCGAAGTGGTAAACGTCTGAGACCTGCATCACTTCGGGCGTTCCTCCAAAATTAAGCTGACACGCCGTGATATAACTGGAGTTATGTTAATAGCGGCGTTAAACTCAACTCACACAATCACTCACTTTTGTGTGCCACTGGGGTGGATGAATGATTGCGACTGGATTACCGCCGTTGGAACTTGTTTGGATATATTATGAGGTGTCCGCTTAATTCAGCTTATTTAGTCTTCAAAACAACACTATGCTGAGCTATGAAACAGAATATTGTTTGTAGACTTGCGGAATAATGAGTGACGATATCCTCACTACCATTCATGTATTTCTTTAAGATGTTATCACCACTCTTACCAAGCCCAGGCAAACCAAGAAATAATCTGTGCGACAGAAAATCGAACCCATAATCATAGGTCTCTGGATAACGAATTGCGCCACCTTAGACAACTGGGCTACCCGTACTCCGTTACTCACATTTAAGACCACCGAACAATATTCGACCCGTGAAGATCCGGGGTAGAATAGGTCTTCAGCAATCCATGCTTGCCGTAAAAGGCGACTATCCTTGTTGGGTGGTCGGGTCTTCAGGCTCGCTGTCTTGGTGGATGCATGTCATCATATCCCAATTGTATGGATGATGCTCATAATGTCAATCACGAGATTGTCTGGTCGAGACCCCTATTATTTACAGACCGCCGTCATATAGCTGTAATATTGCTGAGTGCAGCGTTAAACGAGAAACAAACATTATATATTCATATAATTGATCTTTAATGCATGTTTCTAAGATGCCTTCAAAATATATTTATTAATGATATGTACGAATATTTATATCCAGCGAACCGATATGACGATGAAGATGATGATTAGTGCACTCTTGGTTACGTGTGCCATTACCCTGTCTTCCTCGCAAAATCTTACCAACGACGACATCACCAGCATCTGCAAGGCAGTCACGGAACAGGGCAATTGTTCGTCCTGTAACTGGTGTTCTGTGAGGAAAGACGGCTTTCCCTTGACAGTGAAAGAGCTGTGCCGAGTAGATAATTGGAGCCTGGCTCTTTCAGATTTCCCATGTTCGAACATCACGACCTTCTATAACCAGTCTTGTTCTGTGGGCACCTTGCCATGGGCACATACGGTCGTGTGTCCCATTGCTGAGTCGGCTACTTCCTGCTTTGTAACAAGTAAGTATTATTTATTTATTTTAAAAAAACCATATGATATATATTTGTTTAATTTAAGTACCTTATACATGAGAAAATCTGAAAACTTGCGCATATACTCCGGTGAAAATGTGATTTCATACTTCGATAAATGTAAGAGTAACATCTAGTCTTTATGGACCCGTGAAGATCCGGGTAAAATAGGTCTTAAGCAACCCATGCTTGACGTAAAAGGCAATGTTGTAGTTCTGGTTCGCCTGATGACGAGTGCATGCTGGATAATGCTGTGTATGTGGAATATTAGACCAATGTACGTACGCCTCAGTGTTTGCTTGTTTTGTTATTTACGACACTGGAATGCATCTCATACAACACTATGACAGTTACAATGTACGATCCATTTATGGTCAGGAAATACCGAGAGAAAAATAATCACACGCGGACTGCCATGTTGAATTTTACCGCGGTTTGGCATCCAGGACGTGTCGTATAGGTATGCAACCCGTGAAGATCCGGGGTACAGTAGGTATTTATGCTTGCCGTAAAAGACGACTATGCTTGTAAGAGGCGACTAACGGGATCGGGTGGTCAGGCACGCTGACTTGGTTGAAGTATGTTGAGTGGATCGATGCTCATTATGTTAATCACTGGATTGCCTGGTCCAGACTCGATCATTTACAGACCGCCTCCATATAGCTTGAATATTGCTGAGTGCGGCGTTAAACAACAAACAAACAACATCTAATCTTTATGGTGTATTTTATACATACTGGTACGATATTCAGGTTTGTTCATTTTTATCGGTTTTGTAATAAAGGATGACAGGAAGACCGGAAAGGCATAACTTGTGAGTTTAAGGGAAGGATACATATTATCTTTTACTATACGTTTATATACTATAGGTTCCAGTATCTGCTCAAATGCAGTTTCATTTGATTCCCGACCAGTGGATCCGTATGCATTCCAGTTATCATTCTCAGCTCCATGGGGAGTATAACCCAAACTGCCAAGGGGCGCTACACTTGGGTTTCGGATGTATGCACGTATTTGTGTTTCCACCATCTGGTCTTCTACCATTAGAATTAGTATCATATATCATTTTAACAGTAAATAATTACGAAATGAATTAGTTTCACAAATTTAAGCAATTCTAATTGGCAGTGGGAATCTGAAAACCTGTGCATGTAATCCGGTGAATGCACAAAATTCGTACTTCGATAAATGTAAGTTTGGACGGAAGAAGGAACTGCGTTCCACTTGACAAGTCACTTGATAAACTCTATATAAGGTCGGTGTCAGGGATTTCCTGTTGTTAAACTTGGACGAAAAGGTTCACAAATACAGACATGAAATAATTATATATTGCAAAATACCAGTGTTTGTTATTTTAGATTTGCATGGAATTTTCGGGTCGTGATAAAGAGCATTCCTTTCTATTGCCTTCTATTGCCCTTGACGCTTGTCGTGTATTCTTGCGAATGTCTCGATGTGGACGTATATCAAAACCATTACTTCTGCAACGAACTTGACAGTAAGTTAATAAAAGCGACATAAACAGACTCCAATTATATACAGAAGATGCCAGGTGTTCGCGAAAAGGTGAGTGTATCCTGCCCCACCTGTATTACCTAGCAACCCACGTTTGCTTAAAAGACGTCTATGCTTGTCGTAAGAAGCGACTTACGGAAACGGGTGGTCAGGCTCGCTGACTTGGTTGATGCATGTCATCGTGTCCAAATTGCGTGGATCGATGCTCATGATGTCGATCACGAGATTGACTGGTGCAGACTTGATTCTTTAGAGACAGCTGTCATATAGCTGGAATATTGCTGAGTGCGGCGTTAAGCAACAAACAAACAAACCAAACAGAAACACATGCAAAGGCAAGTCAGTAGTTCACCTGAAACAAAACATTGGGACACATGGTGAAAAGTCAAAACAGGGAATTGCATCAGTCATAACTACTGGCACTGATGCGTCAAGTATGGAAACATACTCCATAAGACATACTCCAACAAACTCATTTCAGACCTATCACTGAGCCAATGTTCCTTTAAGTCCACTAATTGTATGGCCAAAGACAAGGTGATAAAAACTAAAACCTAGGGACTCCCTCACAGCTAACAACAACAAATGAATGCCTCTATCCCAACCCTTCTCAGTCTCAAAACAGTAAGTCCTTATCATATTCTTAAGAGTCTTGTCTCTCTAAAGCTCCTTGAGATTCAGGGTGATATGCACGAGGCTTAACCTGAGTTATGCCTAACTGGTGCATAGCTTGTTGCAAAACACCTAACATGAAAATAGAGCCCTGATCTGACTGTATAATCTTAGCAAACCAACCATGGTGAAGAAATTTATCAAAGCCTTGATTATAACCTGAGCTGTAAGTTTCCCAATGGAAATCTTGTGGAAGCACACATGATAGTAAACATGTACTGATTTCCTGACTTAGTTTTAGGCAAAGGACCAATACAATCAATGATAACCCTGCTGGAAGGTTCTTCAAAGGCTGGAATGGGTTTAAAAGATGCTACTGGAATTTTCTGATTAGGTTTGCCAACCATTTGACACACATGGCATGTTTTGCAAATTCAGTCACATCATGCCGCAAATTAGGCCAAAATGGGACAGAATGTTGTCACAAGTTTTGTTTATCTGCCAAAGGAGTTTCATGTGCCAAACTCAAAACATGCTTTCGATATGAATTTGAAAGGACAATTTGATGGACGACCTTCCGTTCATTATCAGCAGGTACATTTGGCGGCCTGCATGTCCTCATCAAAACGCTACCCTTAAAATAATAGCAAAGTGGAACCATGTCAGCTTCTTCTGAAGAGTGTAAGTGCCCTGTTGGCAAGAGCTTTGAGTTATTGGCTCTCCCCCTTTAACTTAACGTACAGCTCCCTACCCAGAACTGGTTCCTCAACAGCCAAACTGTCAGAATGTTTGCACTCTCCCTCCAAGATTTAGACAGGTCAAGTGAATGATTCATAACAGTGCCAGCCAAATCATAACTGGAATCATTCTCAGAGGAACTTTGCTCAGACATATCACAAGTCACAACACACAAAGGACTTATGCCTTGAATTTCTTTTTCAAGATTTTCAGTACTTTCGGAAGTGCTAGGTTCAAGACAAATAACAGGATCAGGCAAACATCTTCCCATCTTCAGCCATATCTTACAAACTCGTACGCAAAGTTATGTATACTTATAATTTCTACACAATTATGTATTTGTAAATGCCTAAATGTACGACCAAGTAACGTTAATGGTTGTTTTCTTTCAGCGGAGGCTTCTACGACCACGGTAACTACGACCACGGCAACTACAACCACGGTGCCCACAACGACTAAAACAATTCGGTTTCAAGGCGGCGCCCGCGAAACGTTCCGTATGCGACTATTTGAAATCTTTTTTTGCGCTAACTACTCTGTGCATTTAGAGCTCGTGTTTGATCGTAGATATTCTCTGAAACGTGGACGTGCTCGTGTTTGCCCGATCATCGATACATCACATTATATGTGAGGTGAGGTGAAATGGGGTCGCGTCCAAAATTATTGCACTTATATAGCGACGTGCACGCACGTGAGTGTGTATGGTTGCTTGTGCTTACCCACTGAGATACTATGCCGCAGTTTAACACGAATACCCCACTCTGCTTCAGTATACTGACTCCGAGCCGACCAGTGCTTGTTTTAGCCCCTTAATGCCGAACGCCAGGTAGGGTAACAAGTACCCTAAACCATCTGTTTTGGTCCGGGCGTCACTTTATATGGGATCACATAGAGTGCCAGTGTCTTGCTAGAGTGCTAGAGTGTAGTTGCTGTTGCTAAAGTATATAAAACTCGGCGTATTTGGTCTAATGCAATGAAGGTCGTGTTTTAGACAAAAATAATCTGCTTTGTATTGTAGATTGGTAAATGTATTTAACAATAGAACGTGCTTCCTTTCAGAGGTAACTTGATATTAAGTCACGATCCGGGGAAGAATAGATCTTCAGCAATCAATGCTTGCCGTGAAAGGGTACTGTGTTTGTCGTAAGAGGTGACTAACGGGATCGGGTGTTCAGGCTCGCTGACTTGGTTGATGCATGTCATCGTATCCCAATTGCGTGGATCGATGTTCATGATGTCAATCACGAGATTGTCTGGTCCAGACTTGATTATTTACAGACCGCTGTCATATAGCTGGAATATTGCTGAGTGCGGCGTTAAACAACAAACAAACAAACCAAACAGAAACACATGCAAAGGCAAGTCAGTAGTTCACCTGAAACAAAACATTGGGACACATGGTGAAAAGTCAAAACAGGGAATTGCATCAGTCATAACTACTGGCACTGATGCGTCAAGTATGGAAACATACTCCATAAGACATACTCCAACAACTCATTTCAGACCTATCACTGAGCCAATGTTCCTTTAAGTCCACTAATTGTATGGCCAAAGACAAGGTGATAAAAACTAAAACCTAGGGACTCCCTCACAGCTAACAACAACAAATGAATGCCTCTATCCCAACCCTTCTCAGTCTCAAAACAGTAAGTCCTTATCATATTCTTAAGAGTCTTGTCTCTCTAAAGCTCCTTGAGATTCAGGGTGATATGCACGAGGCTTAACCTGAGTTATGCCTAACTGGTGCATAGCTTGTTGCAAAACACCTAACATGAAAATAGAGCCCTGATCTGACTGTATAATCTTAGCAAACCAACCATGGTGAAGAAATTTATCAAAGCCTTGATTATAACCTGAGCTGTAAGTTTCCCAATTGAAATCTTGTGGAAGCACACATGATAGTAAACATGTACTGATTTCCTGACTTAGTTTTAGGCAAAGGACCAATACAATCAATGATAACCCTGCTGGAAGGTTCTTCAAAGGCTGGAATGGGTTTAAAAGATGCTACTGGAATTTTCTGATTAGGTTTGCCAACCATTTGACACACATGGCATGTTTTGCAAATTCAGTCACATCATGCCACAAATTAGGCCAAAATGGGACAGAATGTTGTCACAAGTTTTGTTTATCTGCCAAAGGAGTTTCATGTGCCAAACTCAAAACATGCTTTCGATATGAATTTGAAAGGACAATTTGATGGACGACCTTCCGTTCATTATCAGCAGGTACATTTGGCGGCCTGCATGTCCTCATCAAAACGCTACCCTTAAAATAATAGCAAAGTGGAACCATGTCAGCTTCTTCTGAAGAGTGTAAGTGCCCTGTTGGCAAGAGCTTTGAGTTATTGGCTCTCCCCCTTTAACTTAACGTACAGCTCCCTACCCAGAACTGGTTCCTCAACAGCCAAACTGTCAGAATGTTTGCACTCTCCCTCCAAGATTTAGACAGGTCAAGTGAATGATTCATAACAGTGCCAGCCAAATCATAACTGGAATCATTCTCAGAGGAACTTTGCTCAGACATATCACAAGTCACAACACACAAAGGACTTATGCCTTGAATTTCTTTTTCAAGATTTTCAGTACTTTCGGAAGTGCTAGGTTCAAGACAAATAACAGGATCAGGCAAACATCTTCCCATCTTCAGCCATATCTTACAAACTCGTACGCAAAGTTATGTATACTTATAATTTCTACACAATTATGTATTTGTAAATGCCTAAATGTACGACCAAGTAACGTTAATGGTTGTTTTCTTTCAGCGGAGGCTTCTACGACCACGGTAACTACGACCACGGCAACTACAACCACGGTGCCCACAACGACTAAAACAATTCGGTTTCAAGGCGGCGCCCGCGAAACGTTCCGTATGCGACTATTTGAAATCTTTTTTTGCGCTAACTACTCTGTGCATTTAGAGCTCGTGTTTGATCGTAGATATTCTCTGAAACGTGGACGTGCTCGTGTTTGCCCGATCATCGATACATCACATTATATGTGAGGTGAGGTGAAATGGGGTCGCGTCCAAAATTATTGCACTTATATAGCGACGTGCACGCACGTGAGTGTGTATGGTTGCTTGTGCTTACCCACTGAGATACTATGCCGCAGTTTAACACGAATACCCCACTCTGCTTCAGTATACTGACTCCGAGCCGACCAGTGCTTGTTTTAGCCCCTTAATGCCGAACGCCAGGTAGGGTAACAAGTACCCTAAACCATCTGTTTTGGTCCGGGCGTCACTTTATATGGGATCACATAGAGTGCCAGTGTCTTGCTAGAGTGCTAGAGTGTAGTTGCTGTTGCTAAAGTATATAAAACTCGGCGTATTTGGTCTAATGCAATGAAGGTCGTGTTTTAGACAAAAATAATCTGCTTTGTATTGTAGATTGGTAAATGTATTTAACAATAGAACGTGCTTCCTTTCAGAGGTAACTTGATATTAAGTCACGATCCGGGGAAGAATAGATCTTCAGCAATCAATGCTTGCCGTGAAAGGGTACTGTGTTTGTCGTAAGAGGTGACTAACGGGATCGGGTGTTCAGGCTCGCTGACTTGGTTGATGCATGTCATCGTATCCCAATTGCGTGGATCGATGTTCATGATGTCAATCACGAGATTGTCTGGTCCAGACTTGATTATTTACAGACCGCTGTCATATAGCTGGAATATTGCTGAGTGCGGCGTTAAACAACAAACAAACAAACCAAACAGAAACACATGCAAAGGCAAGTCAGTAGTTCACCTGAAACAAAACATTGGGACACATGGTGAAAAGTCAAAACAGGGAATTGCATCAGTCATAACTACTGGCACTGATGCGTCAAGTATGGAAACATACTCCATAAGACATACTCCAACAAACTCATTTCAGACCTATCACTGAGCCAATGTTCCTTTAAGTCCACTAATTGTATGGCCAAAGACAAGGTGATAAAAACTAAAACCTAGGGACTCCCTCACAGCTAACAACAACAAATGAATGCCTCTATCCCAACCCTTCTCAGTCTCAAAACAGTAAGTCCTTATCATATTCTTAAGAGTCTTGTCTCTCTAAAGCTCCTTGAGATTCAGGGTGATATGCACGAGGCTTAACCTGAGTTATGCCTAACTGGTGCATAGCTTGTTGCAAAACACCTAACATGAAAATAGAGCCCTGATCTGACTGTATAATCTTAGCAAACCAACCATGGTGAAGAAATTTATCAAAGCCTTGATTATAACCTGAGCTGTAAGTTTCCCAATTGAAATCTTGTGGAAGCACACATGATAGTAAACATGTACTGATTTCCTGACTTAGTTTTAGGCAAAGGACCAATACAATCAATGATAACCCTGCTGGAAGGTTCTTCAAAGGCTGGAATGGGTTTAAAAGATGCTACTGGAATTTTCTGATTAGGTTTGCCAACCATTTGACACACATGGCATGTTTTGCAAATTCAGTCACATCATGCCACAAATTAGGCCAAAATGGGACAGAATGTTGTCACAAGTTTTGTTTATCTGCCAAGGACTTTCATGTGCCAAACTCAAAACATGCTTTCGATATGAATTTGAAAGGACAATTTGATGGACGACCTTCCGTTCATTATCAGCAGGTACATTTGGCGGCCTGCATGTCCTCATCAAAACGCTACCCTTAAAATAATAGCAAAGTGGAACCATGTCAGCTTCTTCTGAAGAGTGTAAGTGCCCTGTTGGCAAGAGCTTTGAGTTATTGGCTCTCCCCCTTTAACTTAACGTACAGCTCCCTACCCAGAACTGGTTCCTCAACAGCCAAACTGTCAGAATGTTTCTACACAATTATGTATTTGTAAATGCCTAAATGTACGACCAAGTAACGTTAATGGTTGTTTTCTTTCAGCGGAGGCTTCTACGACCACGGCAACTACAACCACGGTGCCCACAACGACTAAAACAATTCGGTTTCAAGGCGGCGCCCGCGAAACGTTCCGTATGCGACTATTTGAAATCTTTTTTTGCGCTAACTACTCTGTGCATTTAGAGCTCGTGTTTGATCGTAGATATTCTCTGAAACGTGGACGTGCTCGTGTTTGCCCGGTCATCGATACATCACATTATATGTGAGGTGAGGTGAAATGGGGTCGCGTCCAAAATTATTGCACTTATATAGCGACGTGCACGCACGTGAGTGTGTATGGTTGCTTGTGCTTACCCACTGAGATACTATGCCGCAGTTTAACACGAATACCCCACTCTGCTTCAGTATACTGACTCCGAGCCGACCAGTGCTTGTTTTAGCCCCTTAATGCCGAACGCCAGGTAGGGTAACAAGTACCCTAAACCATCTGTTTTGGTCCGGGCGTCACTTTATATGGGATCACATAGAGTGCCAGTGTCTTGCTAGAGTGCTAGAGTGTTGTTGCTGTTGCTAAAGTATATAAAACTCGGCGTATTTGGTCTAATGCAATGAAGGTCTTTTTTTAGACAAAAATAATCTGCTTTGTATTGTAGATTGGTAAATGTATTTAACAATAGAACGTGCTTCCTTTCAGAGGTAACTTGATATTAAGTCACTATCCGGGGAAGAATAGATCTTCAGCAATCAATGCTTGCCGTGAAAGGGTACTGTGTTTGTCGTAAGAGGTGACTAACGGGATCGGGTGTTCAGGCTCGCTGACTTGGTTGATGCATGTCATCGTATCCCAATTGCGTGGATCGATGTTCATGATGTCAATCACGAGATTGTCTGGTCCAGACTTGATTATTTACAGACCGCTGTCATATAGCTGGAATATTGCTGAGTGCGGCGTTAAACAACAAACAAACAAACCAAACAGAAACACATGCAAAGGCAAGTCAGTAGTTCACCTGAAACAAAACATTGGGACACATGGTGAAAAGTCAAAACAGGGAATTGCATCAGTCATAACTACTGGCACTGATGCGTCAAGTATGGAAACATACTCCATAAGACATACTCCAACAAACTCATTTCAGACCTATCACTGAGCCAATGTTCCTTTAAGTCCACTAATTGTATGGCCAAAGACAAGGTGATAAAAACTAAAACCTAGGGACTCCCTCACAGCAAACAACAACAAATGAATGCCTCTATCCCAACCCTTCTCAGTCTCAAAACAGTAAGTCCTTATCATATTCTTAAGAGTCTTGTCTCTCTAAAGCTCCTTGAGATTCAGGGTGATATGCACGAGGCTTAACCTGAGTTATGCCTAACTGGTGCATAGCTTGTTGCAAAACACCTAACATGAAAATAGAGCCCTGATCTGACTGTATAATCTTAGCAAACCAACCATGGTGAAGAAATTTATCAAAGCCTTGATTATAACCTGAGCTGTAAGTTTCCCAATGGAAATCTTGTGGAAGCACACATGATAGTAAACATGTACTGATTTCCTGACTTAGTTTTAGGCAAAGGACCAATACAATCAATGATAACCCTGCTGGAAGGTTCTTCAAAGGCTGGAATGGGTTGAAAAGATGCTACTGGAATTTTCTGATTAGGTTTGCCAACCATTTGACACACATGGCATGTTTTGCAATTTCAGTCACATCATGCCGCAAATTAGGCCAACATGGGACAGAATGTTGTCACAAGTTTTGTTTATCTGCCAAAGGAGTTTCATGTGCCAAACTCAAAACATGCTTTCGATATGAATTTGAAAGGACAATTTGATGGACGACCTTCCGTTCATTATCAGCAGGTACATTTGGCGGCCTGCATGTCCTCATCAAAACGCTACCCTTAAAATAATAGCAAAGTGGAACCATGTCAGCTTCTTCTGAAGAGTGTAAGTGCCCTGTTGGCAAGAGCTTTGAGTAATTGGCCCCCCCCCCCCCTTTAACTTAACGTACAGCTCCCTACCCAGAACTGGTTCCTCAACAGCCAAACTGTCAGAATGTTTCTACACAATTATGTATTTGTAAATGCCTAAATGTACGACCAAGTAACGTTAATGGTTGTTTTCTTTCAGCGGAGGCTTCTACGACCACGGTAACTACGACCACGGCAACTACAACCACGGTGCCCACAACGACTAAAACAATTCGGTTTCAAGGCGGCGCCCGCGAAACGTTCCGTATGCGACTATTTGAAATCTTTTTTTGCGCTAACTACTCTGTGCATTTAGAGCTCGTGTTTGATCGTAGATATTCTCTGAAACGTGGACGTGCTCGTGTTTGCCCGGTCATCGATACATCACATTATATGTGAGGTGAGGTGAAATGGGGTCGCGTCCAAAATTATTGCACTTATACAGCGACGTGCACGCACGTGAGTGTGTATGGTTGCTTGTGCTTACCCACTGAGATACTATGCCGCAGTTTAACACGAATACCCCACTCTGCTTCAGTATACTGACTCCGAGCCGACCAGTGCTTGTTTTAGCCCCTTAATGCCGAACGCCAGGTAGGGTAACAAGTACCCTAAACCATCTGTTTTGGTCCGGGCGTCACTTTATATGGGATCACATAGAGTGCCAGTGTCTTGCTAGAGTGCTAGAGTGTTGTTGCTGTTGCTAAAGTATATAAAACTCGGCGTATTTGGTCTAATGCAATGAAGGTCGTGTTTTAGACAAAAATAATCTGCTTTGTATTGTAGATTGGTAAATGTATTTAACAATAGAACGTGCTTCCTTTCAGAGGTAACTTGATATTAAGTCACGATCCGGGGAAGAATAGATCTTCAGCAATCAATGCTTGCCGTGAAAGGGTACTGTGTTTGTCGTAAGAGGTGACTAACGGGATCGGGTGTTCAGGCTCGCTGACTTGGTTGATGCATGTCATCGTATCCCAATTGCGTGGATCGATGTTCATGATGTCAATCACGAGATTGTCTGGTCCAGACTTGATTATTTACAGACCGCTGTCATATAGCTGGAATATTGCTGAGTGCGGCGTTAAACAACAAACAAACAAACCAAACAGAAACACATGCAAAGGCAAGTCAGTAGTTCACCTGAAACAAAACATTGGGACACATGGTGAAAAGTCAAAACAGGGAATTGCATCAGTCATAACTTCTGGCACTGATGCGTCAAGTATGGAAACATACTCCATAAGACATACTCCAACAAACTCATTTCAGACCTATCACTGAGCCAATGTTCCTTTAAGTCCACTAATTGTATGGCCAAAGACAAGGTGATAAAAACTAAAACCTAGGGACTTCCTCACAGCAAACAACAACAAATGAATGCCTCTATCCCAACCCTTCTCAGTCTCAAAACAGTAAGTCCTTATCATATTCTTAAGAGTCTTGTCTCTCTAAAGCTCCTTGAGATTCAGGGTGATATGCACGAGGCTTAACCTGAGTTATGCCTAACTGGTGCATAGCTTGTTGCAAAACACCTAACATGAAAATAGAGCCCTGATCTGACTGTATAATCTTAGCAAACCAACCATGGTGAAGAAATTTATCAAAGCCTTGATTATAACCTGAGCTGTAAGTTTCCCAATGGAAATCTTGTGGAAGCACACATGATAGTAAACATGTACTGATTTCCTGACTTAGTTTTAGGCAAAGGACCAATACAATCAATGATAACCCTGCTGGAAGGTTCTTCAAAGGCTGGAATGGGTTGAAAAGATGCTACTGGAATTTTCTGATTAGGTTTGCCAACCATTTGACACACATGGCATGTTTTGCAATTTCAGTCACATCATGCCGCAAATTAGGCCAACATGGGACAGAATGTTGTCACAAGTTTTGTTTATCTGCCAAAGGAGTTTCATGTGCCAAACTCAAAACATGCTTTCGATATGAATTTGAAAGGACAATTTGATGGACGACCTTCCGTTCATTATCAGCAGGTACATTTGGCGGCCTGCATGTCCTCATCAAAACGCTACCCTTAAAATAATAGCAAAGTGGAACCATGTCAGCTTCTTCTGAAGAGTGTAAGTGCCCTGTTGGCAAGAGCTTTGAGTTATTGGCCCTCCCCCTTTAACTTAACGTACAGCTCCCTACCCAGAACTGGTTCCTCAACAGCCAAACTGTCAGAATGTTTCTACACAATTATGTATTTGTAAATGCCTAAATGTACGACCAAGTAACGTTAATGGTTGTTTTCTTTCAGCGGAGGCTTCTACGACCACGGTAACTACGACCACGGCAACTACAACCACGGTGCCCACAACGACTAAAACAATTCGGTTTCAAGGCGGCGCCCGCGAAACGTTCCGTATGCGACTATTTGAAATCTTTTTTTGCGCTAACTACTCTGTGCATTTAGAGCCCGTGTTTGATCGTAGATATTCTCTGAAACGTGGACGTGCTCGTGTTTGCCCGGTCATCGATACATCACATTATATGTGAGGTGAGGTGAAATGGGGTCGCGTCCAAAATTATTGCACTTATATAGCGACGTGCACGCACGTGAGTGTGTATGGTTGCTTGTGCTTACCCACTGAGATACTATGCCGCAGTTTAACACGAATACCCCACTCTGCTTCAGTATACTGACTCCGAGCCGACCAGTGCTTGTTTTACCCCCATAGCCGAACGCCAGGTAGGGTAACAAGTACCCTAAACCATCTGTTTTGGTCCGGGCGTCACTTTATATGGGATCACATAGAGTGCCAGTGTCTTGCTAGAGTGCTAGAGTGTTGTTACTGTTGCTAAAGTATATAAAACTCGGCGTATTTGGTCTAATGCAATGAAGGTCGTTTTTTAGAAAAAAATAATCTGCTTTGTATTGTAGATTGGTAAATGTATTTAACAATAGAACGTGCTTCCTTTCAGAGGTAACTTGATATTAAGTCACGATCCGGGGAAGAATAGATCTTCAGCAATCAATGCTTGCCGTGAAAGGGTACTGTGTTTGTCGTAAGAGGCGACTGACGGGATCGGGTGTTCAGGCTCGCTGACTTGGTTGATGCATGTCATCGTATCCCAATTGCGTGGATCGATGTTCATGATGTCAATCACGAGATTGTCTGGTCCAGACTTGATTATTTACAGACCGCTGTCATATAGCTGGAATATTGCTGAGTGCGGCGTTAAACAACAAACAAACCAAACAGAAACACATGCAAAGGCAAGTCAGTAGTTCACCTGAAACAAAACATTGGGACACATGGTGAAAAGTCAAAACAGGGAATTGCATCAGTCATAACTTCTGGCACTGATGCGTCAAGTATGGAAACATACTCCATAAGACATACTCCAACAAACTCATTTCAGACCTATCACTGAGCCAATGTTCCTTTAAGTCCACTAATTGTATGGCCAAAGACAAGGTGATAAAAACTAAAACCTAGGGACTCCCTCACAGCAAACAACAACAAATCAATGCCTCTATCCCAACCCTTCTCAGTCTCAAAACAGTAAGTCCTTATCATATTCTTAAGAGTCTTGTCTCTCTCAAGCTCCCTGAGATTCAGGGTGATATGCACGAGGCTTAACCTGAGTTATGCCTAACTGGTGCATAGCTTGTTGCAAAACACCTAACATGAAAATAGAGCCCTGATCTGACTGTATAATCTTAGCAAACCAACCATGGTGAAGAACTTTATCAAAGCCTTGATTATAACCTGAGCTGTAAGTTTCCCAATGGAAATCTTGTGGAAGCACACATGATAGTAAACATGTACTGATTTCCCGACTTAGTTTTAGGCAAAGGACCAATACAATCAATGATAACCCTGCTGGAAGGTTCTTCAAAGGCTGGAATGGGTTGAAAAGATGCTACTGGAATTTTCTGATTAGGTTTGCCAACCATTTGACACACATGGCATGTTTTGCAAATTCAGTCACACCATGCCGCAAATTAGGCCAAAATTGGACAGAATTTTGTCACAAGTTTTGTTTATCCGCCAAAGAAGTTTCATGTGCCAAACTCAAAACATGCTTTCGATATGAATTTGGAAGGACAATTTGACGACCTTCCGTTCATTATCAGCAGGTACATTTGGCAGCCTGCATGTCCTCATCAAAACGCTACCCTTAAAATAATAGCAAAGTGGAACCATGTCAGCTTCTTCTGAAGAGAGTAAGTGCCCTGTTGGCAAGAGCTTTGAGTTATGGGCCCTCCCCCTTTAACTTAACTTACAGCTCCCTACCCAGAACTGGTTCCTCAACAGCCAAACTGTCAGAATGTTTGCACTCTCCCTCCAAGATTTAGACAGGTCAAGTGAATGATCCATAACAGTGCCAGCCAAATCATAACTGGAATCATTCTCAGAGGAACTTTGCTCAGACATAGCACAACACACAAAGGACTTATGCCTTGAATTTCTTTTTCAAGATTTTCAGTACTTTCGGAAGTGCTAGGCTCAATACAAATAACAGGATCAGGCAAACATCTTCCCATCTTCAGCCATATCTTACAAACTCGTACTCAAAGTTATGTATACTTATCATATCTACACAATTATGTATTTGTAAATGCCTAAATGTACGACCAAGTAACGTTAATGGTTGTTTTCTTTCAGCGGAGGCTTCTACGACCACGGTAACTACGACCACGGCAACTACAACCACGGTGCTTACAACGACTACAACAACCATGCCTTCAATTCCGGGACCAGACGTCGCCCGCAAAACGTTCCGTATGCGACTATTTTCAAATCTTTTTTTGCGCTAACTACTCTGTGCATTTAGAGCTCGTGTTTGATCGTAGATATTCTCTGAAACGTGGACGTGCTCGTGTTTGCCCGGTCATCGATACATCACATTATATGTGAGGTGAGGTGAAATGGGGTCGCGTCCAAAATTATTGCACTTATATAGCGACGTGCACGCACGTGAGTGTGTATGGTTGCTTGTGCTTACCCACTGAGATAATATGCCGCAGTTTAACATGAATACCACACTCTGCTTCAGTATACTGACTCCGAGCCGACCAGTCCTTGTTTTAGCCCCTTAATGCCGAACGCCAGGCAGGGTACCAAGTACCCTAAACCATCTGTTTTGGTCCGGGATCGGGTGTTCAGGCTCGTTGACTTGGTTGATGCATGTCATCGTATCCCAATTGCGTGGATCGATGCTCATGATGTCAATCACGAGATTGTCTGGTCCAGACTTGATTATTTACAGACCGCTGTCATATAGCTGGAATATTGCTGAGTGCGGCGTTAAACAAAAAAAAAATGATGTTACTGTCAGGAGATTGAAAGTTTAATTTAGTTAAAGCTGAGAGTTGTAAAATTGTTTGTACGGTCTTCATTCTCAGTGACCCCTTGCACTCAACGGTGTGTCCGCAACGACATAGTGGCCTCAGAATGCGGTGCTTCAACGCTGCCCGAAGCGTGTACCAACCTCGACGATTCCTCGCTTAATGGTCAATACACCTGCTGTACAGGTTAATACAGGTATGGAATACACTTCACGTAAAGGTTTATTGTAAGATCCATTTAACAAATTTCGCTTCGTAAATCAGACTTGCTTCACTATTTTTGTGTTTCGACAAAGACGATAGACAATATGGCTCTGGATCAGTCTCATGTTCATACTATTCGCACTGCTGACATGTCCTGTCAAGCAACGTATTGGAAAGCAAATCAAGTTAAAGCGTACGGGACATTATTTTAATTTTGGGTATTGTTGATAGCAGCTTCTCAACTTTCAACTTGCATTTCGCCAATGAATTAACTTCATAACCGAACACGTCACATGAATGAGAGCGGGTCTGGTAACGACTTTGAATTCAAATACAGTAAACTACGGTTATAACGAACTCAAAAGAACGTATAGTTCGTATTAACCGTAGTTCGTTATAAGCATATATATATATAACAAATGACGGAGTCTAAAAAATATGTTTGTTATATCGGTCAGTTCGTTATAAGCATGTTCGTTATAATAACAATTAGAGTAAATATTTGAACAAGATATAATATATAAAGAACAATATAGTTCAAATTACTGTGATGGGGTACATCATTTATTAAAATGTAGGTTATTAAAATGTAGAAGACACGTGAAGGTCCAGGGTAGAATAGGTCTTCAGCAACATATGCTTACCGTAAAAGGCGACTGACTATGCGTGTCGTAAGTGGCGACCGGATCGGGTGGTCAGGCTCGCTGACTTGGTTGATGCATGTCATCGATCCCAATTGGGTGGATTGATACGACTGATGTAAATCACTGGATTGTCTCGACCAGACTTGATCATTACAGACCGCCGTCATACAGTTGGAATATTGCTAAGTGCGGCGTTAGACAGATTATTCAATACATAATACATAGGCATAATTTGTCACGTGATGTACATGGTTGGATGTTAAATTAAGTTACACAATTCTCATCATGGATCATATCAGGAAGTTTAGCAGTGTTATCCTTTAGTCTCTGCTTAAATGAATATAGAAAAAACTGCGGGTCTCTTGGGAAATTCATGCATATGAAAAGCCTTATACATAATAGATTTCTCACATCTGAAACCATTTTGTAACACTGATATTGTTATATACCAGGCACCTTTCTAAGTAACTTAAGCCAATACTTAACTAACCTTATTTGGCTGGCTACAAAAAGATCACTACGTCCTGTTTCACCAGGAAATCATAAGACCTATACATTTATAGTAAGTGACTACACTCAAAGAAGACGAACCAAAAAACAACATTTTTCATGTTTTGCAACAATACCACCATTTCTAAAAACTACAGCATTGGTTTTATTAAGACTTACTTCAAGACTCCATTCAATCTCATTAAAATCAGATCTTAGTTCTCGCTACCGCTAAACAAAGATCTGAGGACATCCAATAACGTGTCAGGTCAGACCGACCTTGCGCGAACTTTGACCGACCAATGGAATGACCAATCAGAAGGCAGCTTTCTCGTGCTTTACGGCGCTAATTTCAAATTGGCAACTTAGCTTCGAAACATATTTTGACAAATTCTCGATTACAAACTTGAAACCTGAACCCCAAAAAACATTCTGGAATAGCTAATAGATGGTCTAGATTGTAAGGATTCGTTCGTTAAACCCGTAACTATCTTTCGGAATACCCCATGTTAAAGTTTTCGAGGTTGTATGATTAGAAATCATACTCCGTCACTTTAATAATCTGGTAAGCGACGCTCTGATTGGTCGGATGAAAGGTCGTTCTGACGTGACCCCTAATGGGATGTCTTCAGATCTTTGTTCAGCGGGAGCGAGAACTAAGGTCTAATTTTAATGAGATTGAGACTCCATTTACATCAATCACACTGTAACACATTTAACTGTTTTAGC